GTACATAGGAAACATCTAACCATAAGCCGTGAGAGACCGTGAGAACCGGTAAAAGCAATCTGCATTTACCGGTTCTCACGGTCTCTTCGCTTGCAGATTTCTTATATTTTTTCTTCTACCCTGAAGATGGAGGCGATACGTTCCTCCGAAACGTCGGTTAACACCACATATACACGGTGCAAAATCCCAGAAGACTGCTTTCTTCTTGGAAAAACATCTCTTACAGGGAATTTCCCTCTTCCCTTTAAAACAGGTCCTATGTCTCTCAAAAAGTTGCAAATGATCGATTTATTAAAACATTTGAATCGCCGTTACAATGTTATTAACCAATTACTGCCTCGAGAAAGCATAAGGAAATATACAGACTATAATGAACCACCACAATATTCCAGGGCCCTTACTTTTATGTTACAATAAAGTTGCAGAGCTGATAAAAGTTGCCTTTAATAAACCAAGTATCAACATAAATGTTGACACAAGATATCTTATTTGAATATCGGCAGCTACTAAATATTGTCACTGATATTTTCATACTATTCTTAATTTCCTCCAGGATAATTTGGGATTGAACAGTAAAACTACGGAGAGAGATGAAGTGACAGGAGATTGGAGAAAACTGCATAATGAGGAGCTTCATAACTTGTACTCTTCTCCAAGTATAATTAGAATGATCAAGTCAAGGAGGATGAAATGAGCAGGGCATGTAGAACGAATGGGGAGAAGAGGAATGTATACAGGATATTGGTGGGAAAGCGACCACTGGGAACACCAAGGCTTTGATGGATGGACAATATTAAAATGGATCTTAGAGAGATAGGACGGTGTGGATTGGATTGATCTGGCTCAGGATAGGGACCAGTGGAGGGCTTTTGTTAACACCGTAATGAACATTAGAGCTCCATACAATGCTGGGAAATTCTTGAGTAGTTGCAGAATTGGCGGCTTCTCAAGATGGGCTCAGCTCCATGAGTAAATAAGTATAGTAAAATTAACTTGTGCAGTTCTACTTTTCAACCTTTCATCCATCATTCACAACAATGACACCATCTCTCATTCAAGAATATTTACACAGTAGTGATGAAGAACTTGATTTATCAAAGCCACTATTAATTTTAACGGGTTTAAATAGTTCACAGCTTGTTGAAAATATCCACAGTGAGTTAGCCTCGATTCCAGATCTTGAGATAAAAAATTATATTTCATTATTAAACCATGTTTATGATATTAACCACTTGAAGCATAGTGGTTATAATATGGACCACATTATTTAATGTTCAGAAACTATGATTCCCAAGACAGAGATTATTTACGTGTTTCGTACGATTCTCAGCCTAAGGGGACCCATACACGTATGAGTCTGGCTCGCGAGCCCTACTCGGCTTGGGTTCCAATGAGCCAAACTCGTCCGTGTGTGGGTCGCCACTCTCATACGTGTGTGGTGAAATTAATCCGAGCTTGGCTCCTCGCCGAGCCGGACTCGCTAGCCAGACTCGTACGTGTATGGGCCGCCTAAGACTGTAGGGATGCAGCAGTGTTTGCAAATAATCCTGTCTCTTTAGTCTTACTTAAAGCACTGAATATATTTCGCTTACATGCAGGAGCGCTTTACGTCAGAACATGATATTGCATTGCTGAAGTTAAGACAAATAACTGAGTCTTATTTGCTATGTTATAAAACCGACCTTCAGCTGTAACATTTCCCGATAAAATAATGTCGTTTTGTTGTACCACTTTAGCTATAAAAACATAAAAAAAAACATGTTAGAATTCTGAATACATGAAATACATCAATGAAATATTTTAAGGAATTTAAAATTATTTGCACGACTGGAGAGGCCTATATATGTACGTAAGTGCATTAAAAATAAATATAATAAAAAGCACCAAAATGGTAGTGAATTAAGTTGCCTGTTTCTGTCAAGTCTCATGTTCGCGTTTACAGTTCATATTCGTGAAATCAACTAATAAAAATTAATAAACTTCAAATTATATAAAATATTAATATCACACGAAAGTATTCTAATGATATCTTAAGGAAATTAAACTGTCATAAATATTTCTGACCGTTTCAGCGTCTGTATATATTTCTTCAACACAATTTAAAGTAGAAGTTTAAGAACTCGGCCTGTGATAACCCTTTAAAGACAATCAGAATCAGAGCCAGAGCCAGAGCCAGAGTCAGAGTTAAACTGTTGGTTTACCTCCAGTCGGTTAGTCTTGGCGCCAAACCCTGGAGGCTTACTGTCAGAGATTATTTTTCAACTGAAACCTTGCGGTCATAGTCCTTATGTAACATCCTCTCTGACGAGAAGTTAGGTTTGTCTCTTATGAATATGCTTGGCCTTTTGTGAAATGTAACTATCACACATACAAAATGTTATTGAATAATCTTCCTTTTGGACTACACACAAGTCTTCTGTCAGTCCAGGCTTCGCAAAGCAGATTTTGTATATTTTAATTATCTTATGCTACAGAGGCAGCTTAGTCAAGTGAACGGTCGTAAGCTTGACCACCGCCAAGTTCAAGCCTCTTTATTTTTTCCGTGTCTGTTTTCGCCTTGCCCTCTGCTGTGAACATATACGTATATTCCCATGAGTTTGTACGACTTCTGCTTGTTATATGGACAATTTTGTTATATAAATGCATACACACGGAAGGTTGAAAGCTGTGTGCAAATCGTGGGGCGATTTGCACCTTGGAAAATGTCCAATGTTGAGGAGAACCTTATTTGTAGGCGCCGCAAATTCCTAGGCGGGGCAAGGCATAAGTCATTACTGTTGTAATCAGTGCTTTATGGAGGGTTAGTTTAGTGCTGGCCCTTAAACGGCCCACTTTGAAGAGGGAGTAGATTCTGATAAATGTGAGTTGAATTGCAAGAGCGTACAGCACTGACTGTCAGTAGCAGGTACAGTTCTGGGTGAAGTAGTTGCATAAGTCAACACTATTATCTCTTCCTTACAAACAATGTATTACTTTTCTTCATCTATGCATTTTCGTGCGTTTGAAGTGACAGGAGGTTGCAGAAAACTGCATAATGAGGAGCTTCATAACTTGTATTCTTTTCCAAGTATAATTAGAATGATTAAGTCAAGGAAGATGAGGTGAGCAAGGNGTATTCTAATGATATCTTAAGGAAATTAAACTGTCATAAATATTTCTGACCGTTTCAGCGTCTGTATATATTTCTTCAACACAATTTAAAGTAGAAGTTTNAGGCGTAGGTGGGTGGATAATATTAAAATGGATCTTAGAGAGATAGGATGGGATGGTATTGATTGGATTGAACTGGCTCAGGATAGTGACCAATGGAGGGCTCTTGTGAACACGGTAATGAACCTTCTGGTTCCATAAAATGCTGGGAAATTCTTGAGTAGCTGCAGAATTGGCGGCTCCTTCAGAAGGGCTCAGCTCCATGAGTAAGCAAGTAATTAACTTATTTCATGATTCTATGATTAGTTGACACTATATAGCGTCAAATGGGAGGATAATTAATGAAATATAATTTAGAAAAAAACGCAGAAGAAACGAGTCGTAGTCTGTTTTGAGGTACTATCCAGGCATTTTTCTGGAAGAATCGAGCAAACTAAGTAAAACCTCTGCCAGGATAACCGGTCTCCTGGCCGAGATTTGAACCGAAGACCATTCGAATACGAGGCAGAAATGTTACACACTTGGCCGCGACGCTTGTTTGCACCTACAGGTAAGCGGCGTCTGTACGTACCTTAAGTAAGTAAATTTTCCTGTTTGTTTGTGGCGCACATCGTTAAAGCAAATAAGGTTTTTGAAGTGAAGTTCAGGGTGTTTTGTACCTCGGGATTAGGGGGAGCCGAATATAGTTGGATTTAATCTCTGATCACTTTAACAACCATCGAATGGCCCTTTCTTTTCTAGTGGATAGATAGATGCATGTGCCCATCAGTTGTTCTATACGTGGTAATGAAAATAAATCTTGAATTATCCCGTCTTGAAAGAAAGTTTCTACAGTACCCTTATTAAATCATATAGGTATTCTGTTTTACTTCATACAATATAATGCTCCAGCTTAACCGAAATTTAAATTCACACTGTCTCTACCCCATTCAAATTGAATAGCATGGTCACAGATGTACATATAGGGTAACAAGTTGAAAGTTTCGGAAAATGCAATATTACTTTATAGAAATTTATAAAATTATTTGTCATTTAATATATAATCAACACGAAGTGTTCTAATAGATATCTCTTTTCACTTCGACAAAGAAAACTGAAATGCTAGAACACATAAACTCTTGCATGCTAATTTTTGTATGTTACGGTGTAAGATGCACGTAATAAAATAAAACCTTTAACAAGGTTCGTGATCATATATATTATTTTTTTATTTGTATGTAAGTATATAAAATTTTTTAAATTCTCAGGGAAGTTTCCTGAAGGAGGAGGGAGCAAAATACTTCCCACAAGTCGACGCCCTATACCACTTTAACGTGTGCTATACTCGGAAGGTTTTACGTGTAATACAATACATCATGAAAACTTCAATCTAAGTAAGTAGGTATATTTAAAATTCATTTGCGTGTAATATCAATTTAACTTACCTCTAAGTTGGACGATAATTTTGGGCTTCACAGTCCTGACGACCCAGTTGATTTTTTCATCTCCACACACACTGTTGTTAATTTTTTTAGAAATACGTTGAAATGAGATTCAAGAGTTTCTGTTTTGTACAGTATGGTTCATATGAACTTAAATTCACTGTTCGGATCTATAATCAGCACTTCATATATGACATTTAATTTCTCTCGACCACACTGTCTTTCAAAACTCACACAAGATGATGTTATAAAGCTTTTGCTCAAATTAGTTTGAACAATTAATAACATAAGCCGAACTTTCACAGTTTTGTGTACATATCGCATTAATTTCTTGAATCATCAAAGGAACAGATGACATACGAAAGAAATTGTTCACTGGGTTCAATCTAGAAAACACCGCCAGAAATTGCCACTTTAAATAAGAAGAAATTAAACAAATGTTTAGCCGTTCACTTCTCAAACGCTTTCGTTAAAAATACATGTAAACGTTCCCATGCTGTACGCACTTAAATAATGATACTGAAAACGATAGGATTTATTTTACGAAGAAACCAAGTTACGAGGAGCAAAATATTAAACAACTGTCGGAACGTTCAAGCTTCGCAGTCCAAACGGGGAATGAGCGAAACCTGGAAGAGGATTGGCTGCAGTGAGCGGGCTTGCGCAGTGCAGCCACAATCGATTATGAAATCTAGAACCCCAGTATCAAAGACTTTGCAACTACCAAGACTAACCAATTTATGAATAGTGTACATTTTAAAAGAATGATAATAAAGTAGCTTTTATAATAGTGGCTTTTGAAATATTCGTCTGTATGCAATATGTCTTGCTACTACGTGGTAAAATGGGGCAATGAGTCAGACAGATGCTTAAGTGTACCATGCCTTTCCGATCTTGAGCATTAATAAAACACTGTTCAAATGCAACCGGTCATTATTATTACCACTATTATTAAAAATCAAATAAAAACTAAATTCATGTGGACACCGGAATAATGGCGCCAGACGAACTTGTCCGTTGTTAGGTAACGGTAAACAAACATGTATCTGCGCCAAAGGATAAGTAGACGACAATAGAACTGTGAGGGACTTTGTTTTCTATGTGGTACCTGCGGAAGCTGTATCGAAAAGTCGGTCACTAAACGCGTGGCAGTATTATTTGCTTTTGTCATCATCATGTTTAAATTTAGTAGTTGGTTGAGGCACTATGCTACAAGCCGGAAGGTCGCGGGATCGAATCCCGATGACGTGGATTTTTTCAATTTACCCAATCCTTCCTTCCAGCCACACTAGGGCCCTGGGGTCAACTCAGTCTTTAACAGAAAGGAGTACCAGGAATATTCTTGGGGGTAAAGGGCGGCCGGCACGTAAGGCTGACAACCTTACCGTCATCTATGAGCCAATTACCAACATCTCAAAACCCGATGGGCCTCTACGACCTATAACAGGGATACATTTACTTACTTTACTGTAGCACACACAAAAATTACATACTGAAGGGTTTATTTGTATATGCTTAAGAAGTGGGCTACTTTTTCTTTCATATCTGAAGTTTGAGGGACCAAGTACAAACACGATGTCGCTCCAATGTAAGAAATTTTTGGAAAATGCCCAGAAACATGTTTAAACATTAATTTAAAACACGCTATGGCGTGGCTCCATTTTCACACACACATACGTTTCGAATATTGACGGTAGTACCGGGTTTCCTCGGGTTTACTGCAGTTTTCCTCAATTTCCAAACTCGAATCAAATTCCGGGACTAAATACAGAAACGGCAAGAACAGGTTCCTTCTACATCCCTACCTACACATCGGTCACGCCTATTTAACCTCATTTGACGCTACATGACATCTGTATTTGGAACAGCATTATGAAATAAATTCATTAAGGAATATGACTTGGAGCAACCACACGAGTGTGTAAACTGCCCCATTTGACTTGTAAGCTGCAGCGTTCTTAGAGTCCTACAGCCAGTCACAGAGTCGCGGAGCGGGCACGCACAGAGACTGCAGAAACAAAACGAAAGGTTAGATGTCTTGATGTCACTACCGTCACTACCTTGTGCTGAGCAGCTTACAGTTGGAGCAGCAACTGGCCTTGTCTGCTGACTACAGTGTCACATGGAGTCTAATAGATTCCATATATGCAACATTCTCACGTCTCGGTTTCTGATAATTACATACTTCTCTTGTATGTCTGTTTATTGGTGTAGAACTACTTTGTTCCGTATAAGTGTGCACACACATGCGCGCGCTGGGGCGGTGAAACGAAATTCGCGCAAAATTTTCCATAATGTGATTTGTTAAAAACATGTCGAACATGTTGCAAAACTTGTGTCTAGTGACGTTCAGTTTTCAATACACGTCACCGTCAAATGGCGCAGACTCTCAAATTATAAAACCATGGGCGTCCCGTACTTAAAGGCATTGGAAGCAGTCTTTGATCATTTCGAAACACGCAAGGCATTCTCTGCGGCACACATTTAACGTGAAGACATCCGGGTTTTTGGACATTGCTCATCGTCCGACGTTCTAAAGCCCACAAGATTTCGAAAATATTTCCGTCAGCAGGTGAAAGAATCCTGAGCTGAAGACGGAAATTGACCCAACTTCCGAAATTAAGTTTCTTAGAATGCAGAACGACGGACAAAGTCCAAAACCCAGTAACACCGAGTGTTATACACCACCGTTAGAACGTTTTGGAATCTAACAGCAATTTTATTAAAAATGCACGTACACATACATGAAGATTTTCTGTGACTGACTGTCCAGTTCTCCACAAAACAGTGCCATTTTGTGACGTTCCTCCACAGTCCTGATAGAGTTTAGCTTTAGCTCTGCCCTTAATCTGTCGAATTATTTCCGTCTCTTTTAAGTTGGTCCTGGATGAAAGGGGAAGAATAATGAAAAATAGAGAAATGATAATGATGATGACGCAATAATGGTTCAATTCTAGGCAGGGACAAGAGATTCTTCTCCATTCCACAGAGTCCACACTGATTCTGGGGTTCGCCCAGCCTATAAATTTTTACCGGGGGCTATCTCCCCGGAAGTAAAGCTGCCAAGGCGTGAAGCTGACCACTCATATCTAGCAGTGCCGAGGTCACTAACGGTGCAGCTACACCTCAGCTTCCCCACATGTCTTCATGGCGTAGTGCTCAATTAATTATGCATGGGCAACTTTACCTTTTTCCCCCTTGGCACTAGAGCCCCAGTGGGCCTAGGCCTACCTCCATGAACTTCTCCTTTCGCTTCGGTTTCTCTAGATCTTACACATTCGGTAGTACTCCTTGGGCGGGTGATCAGCTCGTCGCAAGGCCTCTACCTACTTTACCTTTACCATTATGAAATAGTCCCTGACGTTTCCTTTTCCCATATCTGTTCTACGATCATGCTGCATGCTTGAACCTGCAACAATGTCTTGAAGAAGTGACATTAAGCTGTCGCTAGACTGTGTGTGGCTCTTGAAATAAGAAATGGTGAGTCGTCTTAACCATGTACCTGGTGGCTCTAGTTCCTTATCTACTGTTTACAGAGGAAGCTGAGTACTTCAAACTAATTCGTAAAGTTACTCATTCTCAACAAATCTTGCCGTTTAGCGGGGAAGTGTCGACATTAAGGCTACCAGAAGATCGATTGTACAGAGTCAGAGGTCAAAATCAATATTTCATTCCATGCAGGATTTAGTGATACTGGTCAGTCGATCCCCTAAATCCCCCTCAGTTCGACCTGTATAAGGTTGATTACGAAACTGAGTAAGACTACCAAACGTTACAGTTGAAGGAATCGCGGTTAGTCGCTGGCTTCTCACCGCGTCGGCCCGGGTTCGATCCCGGGTCAGGTCAAGTGGGATTTGTGATGGACGAAGTGGTACTGGGGCGGGTTTTCTCCGAGTACTTCGGTTTCTCCTGCCAAACTTCATTCAACCAAATTCTCTATCATCATAACCACCCGGGGCAGGATACAATAGGCCAATCAGTGGCCGCCGTGCCGAGTGGACCCAGTTGGACTCCACCCCCCCAACTAAGTGAATTAAAAAAAAAAAACCTCAGGTGTCCAGAAGTGTAAATTATAACAGACCCGATAAGTATTTATTCATGCACTTACTATTATTATAAGTTGGAAGGGAACTGTGCATTAATAGCATACAGATGAAATTTGTACGAGACTGTCTTTGCTGCGGGACACGGAACAAATAAAATTTACGGATTTGTTGTTCTGAATATTGTATAACTGTTTTAATTCAAATTAAACTAAAGTGGAGAACGCATATATAAGCTAAGAGAAGACAACTAGAGCTCAAAACTAGATATATGAATTGGCTACTGGATAGAGTTATGGCGATGCAGCAAACCTTCCAACACAAAAATCCTCCAAACGTTCCAATCCAGAACACTAAGAAAACTAGTTAATGCTCCCTGGTACGTATCAAACGCTACTCTACACAATGATCTAAGCATACCATATGTAACAAAAGTCATCAGAGCATACGCGGAGAAACACAAAAACCGGACCACCCAAAACAACAACCAACTAATAAGAAACCTCTTCAACCAACCAGAAATAGAAAGAAGACTAAATAGAATGTGGCCAGAGGATCTCATTGGATAAGCACCAGAGAATCATTGGAGGATGATACCTGCTTCAATATTAATACACCCATCCCTTTTATTAATTACTCTATTTATGTATATTGAGTAGATTGCGAAATAAAAAAAAAAATAGAAAAAAGAAAGTTGAAGGAACAGTAAAAGTTCCGAACCGATTGAGTGAACATACATTGTCTGAAAACACAATTTCAGCATCAGCCTGTTCTCCCTGATGTCCAAACCAAGAGAATGCTGCCGGCAAGGCAAGTAGCGGGCATGTGGCAAATCAGATACATGATCGGAATTTTAGTCAGAAAAACTGAAGGCATTTTGACCAGTTGGGAAACTTAAGCTTAGACGGAATGAACGAAATTAGGCTTATTTCTTCTTTGTAGACAAAGAAAATGGGATGAAATGGCATATGACAAGTATGGGAGAGATAAGAAATGTATTTAAAATGCTATTTGGAACATTAAAAGGAAGGGGTCACTTGGGAGACTTCCATGTGGATGAGATGAACGAAATTTTGTCTGTTTCATTTGTGTATCCAGATAAAATAGGATGAAATGGATGGGGCATATAGAATTCATGCGAGAGGTGAGAAATTGACTCAAGACTTTCGTGAGAAAATCGGAATGGAAGAGACCAGTTTAGAGAACAGGAGTAGATGGAAGGACAATAATTAAAGCACAATAGATTATTGAAGGTCACAGTGTGGAGACCGATTTTTATGGCCCACCCCTTACATAAATACATACAAGGACAATAATTAAGTGACAGTTCTGAATGATTCTGATGATGATATGTATACAGGAATGTTGAGCTCATTTTTACTTTCCAGAAGACCCTATTTGAGATTGTGAAAACCAGGCCAGAAAGAGATTTACAATGGATGGGGCAGTGTGTCAGAAGCTACACTGGTGAAACTGGCAAACCGCTAGCCATGTGGCTCTGTGAATAGATGCACAATCTCAAAGAGGGCCTTCTAGAAACATCAAAATTAGCCTAACATGTATATGAAGAGGGTCATGAGGCAGGCTGGGATGAAGCTAGGATTATGAACTGAAGAAGCATAAGCCATGGTTTGATGAAGGATGCTCAGAATTATTATACCAAAGAAAACCGAAGTGTAATGGTTACAGGATCCAAGGGAAATAAATGGGGATAACCTGAACGATATAAAACGTGAAGCCAGCCGGTATATCAGGAATAAAAAGAGGGAATATCTGAAAGACCAGATTAATGAGATTGCGACAGACACTATGAACAAGAACATTCGGGACCTGTATAGAAGAATAATTAAATTTAAGAATGGTTACCGACCTAGAAGTATCTCAGTGAAATATGAGACTTGCAGTCTGCTTGCAGATTCCCACAATATTTTGAATAGGAGGAAGGGCTGCTTCTCTCTCAGTTATACAGTGTACATAGGGTCAGTGATGTTAGGCAGAAATACATACAGTTGAATTAGTAGTGACTCAAGTAGGTTCAACATTTTGGTCCATGAATTCTGTTAAGAAAATGAAAAAATTACTCACAAATGGGGGGGGGGAAGAGGAATGTATATAGGATATTGGTAGGAAAGCCAGAAGGAAAGAGATTACTTTGAAGACCATGATGTAGGTGGGTGGATATATTAAAGTAGATCTTAGAGAAATAGGATTGAGTGGTATGGACAGGATTGATCTGGCTGAAGATGACCTGTGAAGGCCTCTTGTGAACATGCTAATGTTCCTTCAGATTCCACAAAATGTTGGGAAATTGTAGAGTAGCTGCACAACTGGTGGTTTCTCAAGAGAAGCTCAACTCCATGTTGTTGGTCGTATTCTAAAATTTTTTAGAATACCGGACGATGGGAAAACTCAAAAAGCTCAGTAATTATGAGCGGTATGCACTATCCTCACAGGTTACAAACCCTACAAAATATACTCTCTGTAATTGGTTCAGACAAATAATTAAGGGGTACTGGTGAGTTCTGAATGTAAACGATTCTCATAGGTGGCAGTAGTTATCAAAGCGAGTTTTGTGAGTGGTCAAGCACATGGTGCCCTCTTGGCGGGATTGCAGGAACGCTGTGCAGAGATGATCAGTGCAGACAACATGAAATTGGTTTCTGACGTTGTGTAGTGAAAAGTTGTCCTTTGTAGGTGAAGTTATAAAATGTTAATATATAAATTTATCTGTACATTATCTGAAGCTAATTACTAGTTTGCCACATCAATGTACTATACTTATTCCAATATTAAAGTTGATTTAACTGTGTAGGATTGGTTATGCTGTATGCAGAATCGTGTGGAAAGTGGGTGTATCGATTAGTAGATAGATTCTGAAACATAGGGTATTATAAACTATAATACAAATATCTTTAGCCCATAATAAATATAGCTTGGTCGCCTTATTTTGTGTCAGAATTTATTCAGTAATACCAGAGTGCTTTATATAATAACCCATCAAATATGTATAGGTTATGTTGGTGTAAACATATGTGAACATGTGTACTAAAGTCGGTATTATAGCAAAGCCCCAAAACCATAACCTGTAAGGTCAGGCAATAATTGTAGTAGTGGATTCAGGATTTTGAACTTAATAGTTAAATTCCGGTACAGATTTGCACAACATGTTATCTGCAATAGATGCAGCATCTCATTACCAGAAAGAAAAACAGACACATTGTGCACTGTTGCATTTCATTTACAGGAAACGAAAATGGTTCGCGAATTCCAGGCCATTGTGATGGCTGGAGGGAGGGGTTCTAGAATGACGGAGTTAACTGCTGGAAGGCCAAAATGCCTTCTCCCTATTGGAAATAAGCCAATGGTGTGGTACCCACTGCAACTACTTGAACGAACAGGAATAAAAGGCAAGTTCCTCCATTTTCACTTCTTTTTTATACCACATTTAATAGCATTACAGTATTTCGGTACGAGCAGATTGGTATAGCAATAATGCCCTAGACTTTTATGTGGGAGGTGCTTGGCTCAGATCATATCCAGGACACTGGCAATCCTGATTTAAGTTTTTTCTGGTTTCTCTCAGTCTCCAGACAAATGTTAGGATGCTATGACTGCTTCCTTCCAAAGCCTATCTAATTCATTATTCTATAGTTATCCTGCAATTTGAAACTATGTAGTCTGAAATAGTCACATCAATGTAAAATAAACTACAAAAAATGTTTCAGCAATGATGAATATGTTGGACAGGCACATGGGAGTGATATGCATCTTCTGTATTTTGCTTCAGATACAATATTGGTTGTGGTAGAGCAGGTACGGTCAGAAGTGCAATCAGCACTTGAGCCATGTGGATTAAAGATTCGTTTGGATATTGTTAGTATCCCTGCTGCAGAAGACTGGGGAACTGCAGATACACTACGGTTTTTGAGTGATAGAATTAAGGTGTGTTTATTTCTTTTTAATACATTACAGTATTCCACTAGTAGTAGCAGTAGCAGCCGCAATTCTTCTCACTCTCAACTCTGTACAGTCTCTTGCCAAAAATAAATGCATGTTGTATGAGTGTTCCCTGCATTTGATGAGTATCATCATTTATGAACCAGGAAATAAAAATGCAGTAGTTGTAGGATCATCACTAACAAATTTTAATCTAGTTCAGTTGTACATACTGAAAAGTAGTAATTGATAACTCAGTTTCTTGAGTTATCATCAGTATAGATCTGCATTTGATGTGACTTTTGAAGGGGTTCAGTATCTCCTGGTTTTTGTGGACCTTCTTAAAGAAATATCCTAAAGCAATGTTGAAGAGCAGTGGCAATAAGGATCTTAAACCTAAATAGGTATAATAACAGATTTCCTCCACCACTTTCTAACCTCTTCCTTGTTTGTAATAGAATTAATAAGTTTACAGATCCCAGAATGTAATATTCCCCCTCCAGCTTGTGTTATTATGATGCATAATCACTTGCTTTCACTTCTTATTTCACTGTCTCACATGCAACTTGTGTTAAAATCTTAAAATTTGAAGTGAATTTTACATTTTTAACATAAGTTGCATGTGTAATGGTGAAATAAGTGAAAATTGTAACATTTCTACCAGAAATTGGTCAGTACCTGCAGATATGTACTTGTTCGACTTTCATGTCATGATGTCAGCCTTAAAAGAACTTGTCTCAGGTACTAACAGCCCAGCTCTGTATTTCGGTATAGTTAAGAAAATTACAGTCCAACTATACATACTGTCAAAGTACAAGAGCGTGGATTGTCAGTGTGCCCATGTGTTTGCCTAAGTTAATAATACACATGTCATCTCAAGGATACACACACAGGAAACTGCAAACCTTCATAAGTGTTAGTTTTGAGGTTTTCACAGCGATGACTATGAAGAAAGTTGTCTTCTGGGTTTAGGCGCCATGTATTCTTCGTTTTGGCCGACTGCTCTCTGCATTCCAAGTCATTCAATTGCTCTGAAGATGTAGGCGATATGTTCCTCCGAAACGTCGGCCAAAACGAAGAATACATGGCGCCTAAACCCAGAAGACGACTTTCTTCATAAGTGTTGTTCATACAATTTTTTAACTCCAAATTTTCAATGTTATCCAGTGTTGTCTAAGTTTTCATAACTTTAGAATGTGTTCTTCTGGGTTGTGACACCGTGTAGTTATGGTTACCAATGTTTCTGAGGAATCTCGTGCCTGCATCTCCACTTGAACCTGAAGATGAGGGCAGCATTTTCCTTTGAAATGTTGCCACCATGTATACACTGTGTTTAAATCCACAAGAGCAACATCAAAATTTCACTGTCATGGAAACCTCAGATCTCTTCATGACATTTCTTTTGAATTGAACTTGTTAATATAACTTACAGTCTGATGTTCTGATTGTGAGCTGTGATATGGTAACCGATATGAATCTGCATCCAGTGTTGGATGTTTTTCGAAAACATTCAGCTGGGATCGTAGCACTGTTCTTCCATCCACAGCCATCAGATGCCTCATCTGTGACACCAGGACCAAAGACAAAACAGAAGCCAGGTAATATAATGAAGGAGCGAAAAGTTTTCAGTCAAATGAAAACTTGTGAGGGATCTATAACTATACCTTTGATGGTAAGACATTAAAAGTCTTTGATTGTCAGATGTATTAAGTAGGCACCTATATTTTAAAAATGTGTATTTTTGATGCCTGTTTCTTGAAACAGAAAATATGTGGATGACTGAGAAAGGGTACAATTTGCATGAAAATTGGGTTTTTATAAGAGTTTCTCACATGAAGCTGACAGATTCATGTAACTGGATCACCTTATTCCCATACATGTCAGATAATGGGAAACTCACTGTAGTTTATATCCATTTCAGGCTACCCGTTTGAGTCCTTTCTCAACTGGATGTTTGTACTTTTTAGTCTGTTTTCCTACAGAATGTTTGAATGACTGGTTATATAAAGTAAAGATGAATTTCTTTATGTGTAGAATTTGGTGCACACAAATTACTGCTTCCTCAGATGCGATGCCAAGTAGTTGGGAGATGAGTGCCAGCATTTCAGAAGAATCTGCTTAAGGGTATCCCAAAGACAAAGATGGCAGGTTACTCTGAAACACTGGTACCTCTCCACCAAACTACATGGCATCATACCCCGGAAGGTAGTACAGTCAACACCATGAGGACATTTGTGTCTCACTTGTTACATGTATAGTATTCTGTCCTCTGAATTCATATAGATAACCTACACTTTTAATTCTTTCTGCAGAGCGAGATCTTGTTGGTTTGGACACAGAAACCTCACGTCTTGTATTTCTAGCATCAATCTCAGATTTTGATGATACAGTATCGATGCCAAGACGTCTGCTACGAAAACATCCCAATATCTCAATGTTCAGCCAACTTACTGATGCTCATTTCTATGTTATTAGGAAGTGGGTTGTTGATTACTTAGCATATGAAAAGTGAGTATACAAAGAAATTACTTTCATTAATTATTTCTTATACAAGTGTATGTTCACGTGTGCATGTGTGTCACATCAGGTGCCATGTCTGTATGTGCCTGTATGTAACATTGAAGTTGAAAACACAATAAAGTTGCAAGTTGTACATCATTTATGAACCATAACTATAGGCTCAATTAAAAGCCTGTACTGATGGAAACCATTACATACAAGACCAGTGGGCAGACCAAATATTTGATGGGAGGATGAGGTTAAAGCTGACATATAGAAAATAAAGGTACGAGATTGGAAGATAACAGTCCAGGACAGGACCAAGTGGAAAGGTGTGGTTGAGAAGACCAAAATTCTACACGAGTTGTAGCGTCAAAATAGGAGGAGAAGATGACAACTATAGGCTCCTACCTCCTGTGACAGGTGACAGGCCTTAGGTTTCCTTTTTTGTTACCTCCTAAGACTTGCAGGGCTATGGTGGAAGTATTCTGATCTCTCCACATGGGGCAACACAGAACAGCGTAGCCAAATGAACAGTCGTAAAACTATATGAGTGCCTATGTCATCTGTGCTCTAAAAGGAGCATTACATGTATGTACATGTCTTATAGTCCATGCTCCATTCAGCCTTCTTCTCTTCAATTCCCCCTAGGGAGACAAAAATTGGAATGTACGCCAAAACAGCACCACTGAGATAGGAAGAGTTTCTGCTGGTGAGACAGGAGTTTTAACAAGATTCTGCTCACACACCAGAGAACACTGAATGAGCTAGAGCAGCCATGCAGCAGGGCCCCAGTTGGCTCTCCTTGTATAACCTCAGCATGGACCACACAGAAAACACCGCCTATAGCAATTCTTCTATTGTAGCATGTGTAACTGTTGCTGCAATCACATCGTGATTACCGAACATTGCATAGCAACGAACGCTCACTTAATAGTGCCATTGTGTGTTTAACATGTCGTAACCTAGCAACGGATGTTCCTTCTCACTCCAGAGTTCTGGCTTTGCACCCTTGCATCACAGTGTGGTTTCATCAGGCTGGTGCCATGGCCATCATGGCAAGGCAGAGCATGACTTCTCATAGAGAAATATTTCCAGGCTGCTTAATTTTGAGCTGGTAGCATTCCTTGGCCACCACATTCCCTGGAATTGACAGCCTCTCTGGGGTTATCTCAAGCCTGAAGTATATGCTACTTGCCTCCACTGCGCTCAAGAATTGATGGACTGCATAGTGGAGGGAATTGCAGGGAGTTATGCAGAGCTTCAGGCAGCAATGTATCAAATGACATTGGGGTTATCTGGAACATGTAAGACATGGATATTAAACTGCAATCATTATGTTAGTTGTTCTATAAAATTTTTCACTTATTATCTGGTTTCTCATAGTAGTCAATGGAAAGACCATCATCTCCTCACACTTCATCCTGTACTGTTACGGGTATGCTGGTAAATACAGAAATGATTTCCACAACCTGAAGTCTTTACCATCAAACATACTCTCAAATGTGTGGACACTGGCTTCCAGGAATTGAATTTTGAACCAAAATTAAAGTTAAAGTTAACAAATTGCTGCAATGCAAGAGTGACAAATGTCAGAAGTGTTAGATTGAAGGGCAATGTAAAGAGTATAATGTGAAGTTGTAGCTGAAGACTCCCTCATTTATGCTAAGAAAATTACCATGCACTTCCATGCAAGGGAAGAAATGAAAGAAATCTGCAACCAAACAAAGTTCAGTTTTCTCTTTGAAAGGTTATTTTCATATACAGGTGACAGAAACTTTAATTTCATCATAGCCAGTATAAGGTAGAGGGTTAGATTTTGAATTGCTTTCTGGTTCTGCACTCAGAAGTATGGAATTTTCTGAATTACAAAGAGCCACACACAATATTGCTGTGAGGTAAAACAGTCTTGTTGCTGCATATTTTGACTAGGCCTGGAGAGCTTTGAACTTTAGATGCAAAATATACCCCCTCACATAGAATCAGCAAAACCTCTTGACCTTTGTCAACTGATACAGGACTAAGCCCTTGTGGAGCTGCTCTGCAAATATGGAAATGGACTTCTGTTATTTTTGCAACATGTGAAAGGAGCTTCAGCAAAATAACAATAATCACAGATGATGTGAGATCATCAATTGCATGAGACTGACTGTCAAATCTAAGTGTTTTCCACTGAGTACAATGCTGTAAATGTATTGATTTGTATTATGTAATCAGTGATTTTGCGGCCATTAAAGTAAGAAAAGTTGTCTTTATTGTTTGCATCCCATTGTATATACTGTTTTTATACAACTGTCAACACAACAAATTCATAATATTTATTATTATGAATTTGTTGTGTTGAGAGTTGTATAATAATAGTAAAATAAAAGCTGTATGAAGTAACTATCAAATTTGTAATTCAGCCTATGTAAGAGTAAGCATGGTTTTGTTATGCTGCTACTACTGCATCTCTAAATTGAAACAGACTGTTCTTTTAAAAGGTAAATTATCACTGGGAGGGGCACACAGATGCTTTGTCCCAGCTCTGTGTCTCCCTATTCATTATTTGTCAGTCATCATACCATTCAACAGACTAATGCAGTATTTCTAACATCAATATGTGAACCATAACCGTAAGAATGAAATAAATGTACCTCAATAAAGACGTTTTACGCTGTTGTTTAAGGTCTTTTAGCACACTGAAAGGTGAAACGATACCATACATTGTCAAGAAACAGTCATCAAGACATAATACATCGAGAAAATATGATGACACCAATGCATCCCTTGTTGATGATGACAGGAAAGGTAATTAGTGCAGAAATGTATCGCTTGTAACACATGTATTGTTCAGTTTCTACATCTCCACATCTAGGCTTAAAGATCGCCTTTTCTCCCTTTCTTACTTCCACTGTTCCTCCCCTTTTGGTGCATTCATAATGAAATGTTGCAGAGTCGTTCCCTAGCAATGGCTGTCTCTGCTGGCTTCACAGTTCTTGCCTTAAGCAAATATGCCACAGTATTTTATGCATGGTGTATAAGTTAAATACTGATCTTTGTAGTAAACTTCTAGAGATATTTCTTTGGCCTTCAATTTGGCCATGAAAGTGTTGTTACTTTGTGGACAAGAACTTGAGCTTGTGTTTGAGAGATGCTGCAACTTATTTAATTACTTTGTTTGCTAGATTTATTCCATTTTGCCCAGGAAGGCACTCTCTTGCATATGATCAGGGAGTTATCAAGTTATAATGATCATACTGGAGATATGAAGCCTGTGTATCATGGTGACCCAATTCGTTGCTATGCCTTCCTGGCACCTTCGGACAAATTTGGCATAAGAGCTAACACTGTGGCTGCTTACTGTGATATTAACAGAAGGGTAAGTTAACCTATTTGCATTTCCTAGGCAATGTCTCTATCAGCAGCAGATTCTTATCTACATGAAACAGAATTCCTAGTATCCCAGAAATACATTTGAAAAATGTGAGAGGGGGTTGACAAGTTGAAAATAAAGCAACAAGTTTTTCTGAACATATATCTGAAAATACACCTCTTCCATGATACAGCCTCATTTTTTTTTCAGGTGTCTGCATGGAGGGGAGGGTTACAAGAGCAAAATAAAATACACCAGAAAGTAAAGCTGCATGTAACTTTACATTCAAAAGAGAGATTTGTAAACTGCAGTTTTAAAGCAAATCTTGAAAGTGATGCCTGGCCATTTCTGTACACAGTTGACCCTAACACATTAAAGACTGTCTGATGAGTTTAAAAAGTTCAGGCATTACTCGAACAGTTTGGTATACATCTTGAATCCGCTGCCAAAGCTCTTCTCTCATTATGATGGTTTGAGTATAGACTCCCAGCACTCCCAGATACAGAAATCACATGTGTTGAAGTCTGGAGATCTAGATGGCCAGTATGTTGTGCCTCCAAGCCCATCCACTGACCTCTGGACATTTTATTTAGCAGTTCTGTTACTGTAATGGTGTAGTGAGCTGGAGCACCATCGTTTATGAACCACGTGGCTTTTCTCAGCCCGTCTTGCACTGTCCATGACAGCTGGCAACGCATCTTATAAAAACTGGTGGTATGTTTGTCCATTAAGACATACAGGCAGCTGATATGAGCTGATTAATTCTCCGCTTACAACTTCCATGCGTTTACTTAAAACTACTACTGGTGTTTGGAGGGTTTTAATGTTCAATGATTTTCATCGTCTCATACTCATACATTATGGAAGCTGGAGATTCCATCCCTTGTGGAACATGCTTCATCAGTAAAACCCCAAAAAGCAAGGCTGTATCTCGGAAGAGACACATATGTAAATATATATTCATAGGAACGTTTTGCTTTATTCTTAATCTAAGGCGTTCCAATTATTTTCAGAGGTATTTATAGGACAATGTGTATTATGATAGCAATCAGAAATTGTTCCATCATCATCATCATCAGTATTCTGTCAGGCGACAGGTCCACAGTCTCTTCCAAAACAGTTTCTCCACTTAATGCGATCTTCTGTTTTTGGAAAGAGACTATCCAGGAAAAGTGATAATGTGGTAGTTTTTCCATTTGCTTTCCACATCGCAGTACAACAGCCGTTCAAACCACTCTGGTCACGCCTGTTGCTATACGAACTTGAACCATCTCGAGCATCATTTGCTCTGTGCTTCAAGTCGCTGCTGATGACGCTGCTTCCGACATCAGTTTTGTTCCATCAGTGCAAATATAATAGTAGGCCATGGTAGATCAAAGGAAACCGTTGTAACCCAGTGAAACACTAAAATGAGTGAACATACTCTCTTGTGCAATTATATTTTTTTGGTGAAACAGGCCAGTTCCACAACTCCACATGTATGTGCGCAGAGATGTGAACCGCTTGAAGTAACTTGAGAGTTGTTATAAGTACTGAACAAGTAAACTTGTACTCTTCTCCAAGTATAATTAGAATGATCAAGTGAAGGAGGATGAAGTGGGCAGGGCATGTAGCACGAATGGGGAAGATGAGGAATGCGTATAGGATGTTGGTGGGAAAGCCAGAAGGAAAGAGACCACTGGGAAGACCAAGGCATAGGTGGGTGGACAATATTAAGATGGATCTTAGAGAGAAGGATGGAATGGTATGGACTGGATCGATGTGGCTCAGGATAGGGACCAGTGGAGGGCTCTTGTGAACGCGGTAATGAACCTGCGGGTTCCATAAAATGCTGGGAAATTCTTGAGTAGCTGCAGAATTGGCGGCTTCTCCAGAAGGGCTCAGATGCATGAGTAATGTAATGTAATGTAACTGAACAAGTGAACACACCAAATATTACAGGCAAACATTCCTGCGTTTTACTCGGAAGATCATGAGAGCACTTGGTGACTGAAGTGTTTGGTGTTGCCACACTAATATAAATGCAGCTAACTTCATGAAGGGAACATTGCACTGAAATAAAATGTACAATCTTTCAGATTAAGCAACGGTGGGATTCAGTTACTGGGAGTTGTGAACTTTCACCCATCCATCCAACTTCCAACATAAAATCTACCCAGATTGATGATTTGTGCATTGTTGGTGAACAGAGCAGTATTGCTGGGAAGACGTCAATCAAAAGCTGTAACATTGGCGCGCATTGTCAAATTGAACCCAGAGTACGCCTGACACAGTGCATTTTGATGAATGGTGTTAAGATCCAAGAAGGGTAATTTTTTATAACTTTCATGTCAAAACTTCAAAATTTTTGTAAAGCATACATTAATTTGTGTTTTATTTAGATTAATACTTACATAACAATATACTACTCTAACAGAAATGGCAGACAGTGTTTGTTGCTACTTTCTGTGATTTATACTTTTAATATTATTTTATCAGAGACAGATTAGCTAAGAACTAGAAAAACATGTGCAAGGAAAGTAAAATTGGATTCTAACATCCAGTTTTATGGGAATATATGTTTTTAAGCTTAAAAAGATCTGTCTTCATGCAAATTTGGTTATTGCTGTCAAACAGGCAGTTATGCATTTTGTAATGTCACCATATTATTTTACTTTTTACAGTAAAGTGACTTAACAATATTTGTACAACATTTTTAAAGATCTAGTGTCATAAATGATTGGGAATAAGTGATGAAGTTAGTAATGATAATGGAGTTAGAGTAATAAGTATATGTTGCTGTCTCATCACCAGAATGCAAGGCAAAATCATGACATAGTGGTAGCTAACAGATGTCTTGACAATGTGGCACAGTTCGGATTTTTGGGAACAACTATAACAAATCAATAGTTGATTAAGGAGGAAATTAAGAGGAGATTGAACTCAGTAATGCTTGCTACCATTCAGTCCAGAAAGTTTTGTCTTCTCATCTGCTGTCTAAAAACATAAAAATCAGAATATACAAAACTATAATTTTGCCTGTGGTTCTGTATGTGTGTAAAACTTGGTCTCTGACAATAAGGGAGGAACATAGGGTGGGTGAGTGAGTGAGTGAGTGAGTGAGTGAGTGAGTGAGTGAGGGTCATACAAATGTGAGGTCCTTACATTTAACTGCAGTAATTTTAATCCCGTCTAATGAATTTACAGTGTGACTGTTTTCATATCACTGATGGTATCAAATTAGAAAGTGAGATGGTGGAATGACCTCTAGTGCCATGATGTTCATGTTAAATTTCATGAAAATGGATATCAGGAGCGCAGATACATGCACAGATATGATGATGCAGAGTTTGGTGTTTTACACTGTCACACAAATGGTATTATAATCTGTATGTGCAGATATGAATATAATTGTTAATTATAATTGTTTGTTGTAGATGTGTTTTATCAAATTGTGTTCTGTGTGACGAGGTGGAAGTGGGTAACAATTCTGAATTGAAGGATTGCTTGGTTGGAAGTCATCATACTGTAGCTGCTGCAGGTAAAGTACCTGCAGTTCTTTTGTCTTATCTGTGTTATATAGAGGACCACAATACAGTGGATTGCATTGAAAAAGGGGCTATAGGACATTATTTTCACCATCACTTCATATTAGAAACTTCTCTCATACGCATACAGATTAGCTTATCACAGTCTGTGGAGCAGAGTGATATGAATATATACTTGGTTCTGTTTGTGTATACTTCTGGACTATCCTCCTTACTAGTGTCCGGAAAGATTTTATGTTTATCTTTGAGGTACTGTATTCATGTTTTTGCCAATTAGTTCAGATAATGTAGACCCAAAACTGATGCAACCCATTCTCCTTGTCTGAGACCATTCTTAATCAGAAATGCATCAGATAAATATTTACCTGTACTGAATGTTCTGTAGATTTCATTAGGATGCCTTTTGATTAAAGTGACTGTTTTTCTGAGTGTATGCCAGCATCTTCATCTCAGTGTTATGTATACTGTAGAGACCCTATCACTAATTAGTATATTTTCCTTACTGTCCTCCTTTTATGATTATGATGTTATTACATGTATTTGCACATACACAAGAGAATTGGGTAGACAAATATGATCATTAATAGTAAAAGCTAAAAGCTAATATATGACATAAACACTGTCCCAAGTGGAACAATTTATTGTAGTTCTTTTGTCTTGCCCTCTTTTACACTACATGTTTTGGCCACAAATGGCCATCATCAGGTGTATGCACTTACGTAGCTGTTACACTGCATCTAATTTAAAATTTAAAACCATAAGTCTTCACAATTGTTCTTTTCATTGTTACCAACAGGTTTTGATTTATTGGAATCTATTTTGCTGATATCTGTCTGCTTTGTGCATTATCTTTGTAGCGAAGTAGATTCATATATCGTATAGAGTGCAACAGGATGCTTAAATATAATATAGTAAAGGCTAACTTCATTTAGTTTTTGTTTTCAGCTAAACATGCAAGCGAGGTTCTAACTGATGTCAATCGGCTGATGGAAATTTAGGATTGGGGTGAGTAAGGCATTTCCCCAAATGATATTAGGTTTTATTTTAATCTTTTACTATGAAAAATAAAAATTTGGACCCAGAAAACTGATCCCTGTTGTTACTCGTACGGTAGTGTTCTATGTATCGAAGGTTATCTGAAGTAACTCAGTGCAGCAGAATCCTTCATAGATACATTACATACATCACTTCACATCCTATCCTGCAGATCCACCATTAGTGAAAAATGACCATTGGATGTGTAAAATGTCATAAAATAAAAACGTATATGTGCAGTACAACTGAAGCAGTCACATACAAGTGAAGGGAACTTGATGGTTCTCCAGTTGATCAGAAATTCCCCTCTTTTTATGAAACCTAGATGTTCATTACCACTTTCAAAACAGCCTGCCACTGGATCCTATCCTGAACCAGTTGAATCCCATACACTCCTATACCCTACCAATTTTCTTCTCTCAATTTTAATAGTACCCCTCAATCTGTGATTTTTATTGCACAGGTGATCTGTAAACTGATATGTTGTGTAAATTTCTCTTGTCAACATGCATGCTACATACCTCAGCTGTCTCATCTACCTTGGTCTCCCTAATAGTATTTGATCAAGAGCACAAATTATGAAATTCCTTATGATGTAATTTTTCCCCAGCCTTCTGTTACACAGTGCACTGGTGCTGGAATCCAGATTGCTGTAACAAGAAAACAGACTAGATAGCAAGCTGTAATTATAATTGGACATTCCAAGTTAACAAGCTGAAGTCCACATGGAGAATTGCAGTATGCAAAAATAAATTATTCACTGAAAGGAAACCCAGCAAGAAGACTGATCTGTTAGTTCCACATCAGAACAAGACTTACAGCACAGTCTAAGCAGAGAACAAACTGTTATTTCCGCAGATATTTTAAGTGAACATAACAGCAATAAATATTATAGAAAAGGAGAAATTTTTGTCTGTCTTAGTAATGGGTGTTGAACAAAAACGGAGAAGATGCAGTGTTAAATATGAACTGTTTTGTCAGTTGTCAGAAATTGTCATGTCATGGAAATATTTAACTGATTGTCCAAATCATGCTTTTTTTTTAAACAACCTGTATATTATCAGATTAATATTTGCATTTGTGTATGCAAGTGGAGGAGTGTGACTTTTTAAAAGATATTAGCCAAATTCAAAGGCACAAGTAATTCAAGAAAATTTTGTCAATTATGTATATATATTGTACAAATTTGAGCTAAAATGTAATAAAATGAAGAAATGAACGAGAAGAATATATTGAGTGAGAAAAAATTATCAGTTTACTTTCATAATTACACCTTGTACCTCATTTCTTTGTGACGGGTTCTCACCGACAGTATTAGCCACAGATTCACATTAAATTCAGACAGTTCTCTGAGTCCTGAAGTATTTTGTCAGTTGTCTTTTGTGACCCTCTCCTGAGTCTGTAAGCTGCATGGGTACGGCATTTTTGTACAAGTCCCCATCACTGAAATGTTACAAAACTGCGTTTTCTTGTAAGAATAGCCAGGGTGGACTGATCTGGGCATTAAGTCAGAACCTTGGGCAGATAAGTATGGCTACATGGTTACTGTTAATCCAAATCTGAATTATCTACTAGGATGGGGACCCTAGACTCTGTCTCTAATTAAGAACAAGTCGTGTTTGATTTGTTTCATTCTGGTCCATCACAATAACAGTATTACAAATATTACAAAGGTTAATTAATTCCGTCCAGTGTGACTGATGGTTATTTGTTTTTAATATTTTATCCTTTACATGTTTCTGTCCTATAGACCATCATCGGTAGGATATCAATACAATTAGAAATCACTATTACAATATATTTTTGAGTATTAATATGTATGTACAATGTCATCATAATACAATGTATAAATCTAATGTTCTTTTAACAACTACAGCGGCTTATACAAACACGTTAAAATAGTTATTACAGTTAGTATGTTTAAAATTTTTATTTTTTTTTAAATCCAAATTGGCTCTTGTCCCTTCTATTTCCTCTCCCCAAAGGAAGCCAAGCGTCCACCACCCTGCGGTTCCTTCGTTTGAAGAACAGATGTCTTTAGTGTCGTCTTGTTGATATTCGGGGTGCACTGTGTTGTTATACGGGTCTATTGTTCAGAACTGTACGGCCATTAATTTCGGTTTTATAGACCGGAGCCGCTATTTCCTTAATTTTTTTTTTTAATTTGCTTATTGGGGGGCGGAATCCAACTGGGTCCACTCGGCATGGTGGCCACTGATTGACCTATTATAGCCTGCCCCGGGTGATTATGATGGAGAATTTGGTGGAATGAAGATTGGCATGGGAAACTGAAGTACTCGGAGAAAACTCTCCCCATCGCCACTTTATCCACCACAAATCCCACTGACCAGACCCGGGATCGAAACCGGACCGCCACAGTGGGAAGCCAGCGACTAACCGCTTGAGCTAAGGCGCGGCCTGCTATTTCCTTGAAATAGCTCCTAAATTATCTTCATGAGGCTAAGTGGGCCCCGTTCCAGATCCACCACTTTTCAGAAAATCTGGTAGTGCCGGGAATCAAACTCGGACCTCTGGATTTGTAGCCAGGAACTCTAACCACTAGACCACAAAGGCAGTCGATTCAGGCTATTAACTTCTCTAATTTGAAATTAAAGTTGTTTTTTCTCGCTTTTGGGATCAGTGACATGTTTTCTATTGCGACTAGATCGTTGCACTGAAGGAGAGCCTGCACACAGGAGGAAAGACACCCCGCTAAAATTGGAACAGGAACCCTCGGTTCCATGCCACCTCTTGTCCTTCAAGATGCAAAGTCTCATAAGATTCCGAAGAAAAATTATACCGGGTCACTTAAGACGCTTAAGACGTTGGGCTTGGACGAGCCAGATGTACACGTATATCTGATACACACTGCTGCTTCAGACTATACATCCGATTAAATCTAAGCCAAAGGAGCATTAACATTTCCAGATTACATTAATTACCGCCAATGGAATCTCTTAGAGAATTAACCCACAGCTGCAAAAGAGTGGCCAACTTGGAGTCCTTTATTCCTCCTCTAAGAAATGGTGGAATACTGAACAATCAATTTTTCGAATGGCTTTTTCATTTCAAACACTCTGGAAAAACTTTTGATAATGGGCCTCTGTTATGACTGCTGAAAGACTCCACAAGCCATATATCGCTTATATATAAATATTGTCGAGATAGTCGGATAACTGTATTATCATTTCCTCTTCACAATTTTTATTGGCCGCAGTCTCTTGAATATTTACTTTAGGGGACTTTTACATGCATTTAACAAAAAATGTAATTTCTATGTGTAGATACATTAGTTTTGTGTACAAATAAAGAGAGGTGTAAGAATCTGTTAATTAGCATATATAACAGATTTTCTTAACAGTTTATTTTGTTTTAAGCAGTTCAGTAGCTAGGATATCTGAGCCTGCTTTGATATTGATATTCCTACATGTTAATTTGTGTTTATATATATAAGTAAAGTAAAGCTATCCCTGTACCAGGCCGTGAAGGCCCATAAGGTTTTGAGATGTTGAGGGTCCAACATTATCTAGATAATAGACTCAAAGATGGCGGTAAGGTTGTCAGCCTTACGCGCCGGCCGCGCTTTACTCCCCAGGAAAATTATTTACGTAATTAATTCCTGGTACTCATTTATGGCAGAGGCTGAGTCGACCCCAGGTCCATAGTGCGGTTAGAAGGATTAGGTCAATTGAAAAATAAATCCAATGACCTTACGGCTTGTAGCATAGCCCCTCAACCAACTACGCTACCGCGTGCCCTCATGTATGTATATATACAAGGTGTGTCCCAAAAGTCATGAAATATATATATATATATTAAATTTATTGATGATATCGGTACAAAGTGTTAATATTCTTCAAA